GGTTGCACCAACTAACATGGGATTAATAGAATGTGATTTATTGACTGAATCCAATTAAAATGAGTGTGGGATGGTCGGTTCTTATGTCATCAGTGACTCTCAGTCAGAAATTGAAATTCTACGGTCGCATGGCAGAGAACTGCTGTTGCCTTCCCACAAAATGGCACGAATTATTTTGCCTCTAGAAAGATAAATGGGCTGATTTGACCCACAAACAGCAATGTAATTATCTTCTTTCTGATTATAAGAAGTCTCTTCTTCATCCAATGTGTTGCTACTTTAGCACACCGGTGTGTTAGACAGCAGACAAAAACCACATGCCCATTATAAAGGTTAGTTACATGAACAAAACAAAACTTTTATAATTGTAAATGTTGTGGGTTTGCTCTCTAACACACACCGGTGTGCTAAAGTAGTGACACATTTGTACATGTGGTTTGCGCATCAAACCGTACAAATTGGCCGTGTCAGGTGGAGGTGAGTGTACGGCACATATATGATCTAACCCAAAAAACATTATAATGAATAACATTGGTCGTGGAAGCCGACGTGTTAAACATGCTTGACTATCCAGTTTATACCTAGAAAAACACACTGGCATATATTTGTATTTGTGTGTAAGCATGTGTGATTGCTTGCATGTGTGCGTGTGTGAGTGGGGAGCGGTAGTGTAGCGGTTAACATGCTGCTCTACGAACCCGGCGGCCCAGGGTCGATTCCAGCTCATGGTCAAAACCAGCGACGATTATCTGTACCGGTACGGGGCCTCCTCTGGGTCGACTCGGCCTCAAATGAGTACCTGGTGCGATGTGTAAACATCGCCACTGGGGAGACAAGGGCGACCGGGCGTGGTGCTGAACACCTCATCCCCTTGTGTGCCACGCCAACCTTCATGGGTGTTGCTCTCGAACAGCACTTGCCCCAAAAAGCCTACATGCCTGGATGGGATCATTGTTTTGCCTTTATTTGTGATAATGCTTTGAAAATCAACTCGACGGATCGTTGACGAATCTTTCCGTCATTTCACACGGCACAGATTTCAATCCTTTCTGGCAAGCGCTTTATGTTTAATCAGCGTATCGTCAAATGGTGCAGACCTATCTGGGGACACACACTCTCCTGCCAATACGGTCCTATTATCTAAAGAATCAACACCCGCACAACTCCATGCAATGCTGATTTCAAGATGCTGCCGTGAGCACATTCCATCATCCGAAAATGTAAATTTACTTCAATTATTATAAGAATGGTATTAAACATGTTTTATTTTACACACTATCATACCTATTACAATGCAATTGCATATATCTACTTACCTATCACAGTTCTGTATTTTCATTGAACCTCTGTAGCAAGTAAGGCAATCCTTTATATATACGGTATTGTATATGCATTTGTGAATATTTTTCATATACATCATACAATCATCAATCAATCAAACTTTAATTCCGAATGCATCCTTCAAAATAAAATGGTCACAGAGCACTTCACAAGTAAACATACCATTTCATCAGTAGAATTTAAGGCACATAAAATAATAAAAGGTATGGGTTAGAAATGTAGAAAATAGATTATGAAATACATTCAAGCCTGATTTAAAAAAAAACACAACTCCATCCTTATCAGATGACATTCACGGTGCACTACGCATCAACAAAATGCTAAGAAGCAGGCTGTACCGGGGCGCCGCAGTGGCGAGATGATTTATCCCAACGCTGACTCCTGAATATTCGGAGTTTGCATGCCTCTCTCCGTGGTCGCATGGGTTTATTCTCTGAGTCCTCAGGTTTTTCCCTCCGCATTTATAGTCAACAACAATCCACGCGTTTAGAGTATTTGGCTGCTGTAACATTTCCACGTGATAAGTCTACTTCGTTGGGCTATCATTTGTGGCCAGGTCACTTCTGAATAAGAGCTACGTAGCTCGTTGGGCCTTACCTGGTGAAATAAAAATAGTTAATAAATATTGTATAGTTTATACAACTGGACTAAGAATCCTCAAACTCGTTCTACGAACCGACAAAGCAAGGCTATGAACCCATGCACCTGGACTACGATCCCACAAACCTGAACGAGCAACCCAACACACCTGGGCAATGTAACCACACACGCAGAGTAGGAACCCACAAACCCGGGGCCAGGATCTCATGATCCCGGGGCCAGGAACCAACAAACACGGGGTTGGGAACTCACGAGCCCAGACTAGGAACTCACTTGCTTGTACTAGGAACCAACAAACCTAGATTATGGACCCATTCCCTGAGCACGAAAGCAGGCCCCACAAACCGACCACCAACGAGTGGTGGCAAGCTGACAGACAGATCACCCTAAAGAGAATTGTGTCCCACCAAAGGGATGGGTCTTCAGAAACCTTATAAATGATGTGCATAAACTCTCCGCTTCTCTGATGTCAATTGGGAGGACGTTCCACTCGATGTCCTCCCAGGCTCCCTGTTCAAGCAATATGCTCCAGAACTCGCCATCACGATGAGGAACATCGCAAATGCCTCATTCCTTACGGGGTGTTTTCCATTCAACCTCAAATCCGGCCGGGTTTCCCCCCTGTTAAAGAAACCAAGTCTCGACCCTGATGACCCCTCTAGCTATCGTCCCATCACTATTCTCTCCAATCTCTCTAAACTCTTCCAAAGACTCGCCCTCGCCCAGCTAAAACCCCATATCACATCCTCCCCAAACTACTGCTGCTTCCAGTAAGCTTACCGTCAAAACTACTCCACAGAACAGCACTCACCAGAGTCCTCGGTGACATTTTAGTCCAGTCCTCCTCTGGCAACCTCGAAACACTTCAAAGACTTCAAAACAACCTGGCACGTGTCGTCATTGGCCGCACTCATCTTCGGCTCGACTCGCCTCTCTCCACGCCCTCCACTGGCTCCCCATTGCCAGCAGGGTCACATACAAAATCCCCTGCCTCTGCCACCGCGCCTTCACATCTAGTTGCCCCCCTTACCTTTCTTCACTATTGACGACTTGCAGCACAGCACACGGCAGATGCCTTCGCAATGCGACTCACGACCTCGTCTTGATGCCAAAATCCAGGATGGTCACGTCTATGCGCCGCTTCTCGGTGGCTGCCCCCACAGTCTGGAACGCCATCACCCCTCTGCACATTCGCAGCATCACCTCAATCGTCTCCTTCAAGAGACACTTAAAAACTCACCTCTACAACCACGTGCTTTCGAGTGACTCTCAGCTAGGCTCCGCACCTCTGAGTTGCGGCCGTTTTGTCTGCAAATTTGCACGTGTTACAAATTGCATTATTATTATTAACAATGGAATGAGCGCCCTCCAAAAGTAACATGCCTAAACCCAGGATACCACAAGGAGGCTCTGTGTCTCACATATGAAACTTCTGGAATAAATATATCTCAGAAAAGTTCAGAGAGGTAAGCAGCAGCCATGCCATCCAAGGCCTTGTATATTAGTCAGAGGATTTTAAATCGAATCTGCAAGCGGACCGGCAACCAATGTAGATAACTCAGTGCCAGTGAGGACTATGGCGGCTTCATTCTTTAATAGTTGGAGACGTCTAATTAGTTTGTGTGGTCGACCAGTGTACAATGAGTTTAAATAATCAAGCCTAGAAGTTATGAATGCATGACTCAGAGTTTCTGCTTCTTTTTGACTTAAGAAGGGGCGCACACGGCGGGCGCAGGTTTATGCTCAAGTCCTAGATGACAATAAAAGGCGACATCCCAAACTCTTTACAGACGATGATGGAATTAATTATTTTACGACGTAATGAGTTCAGGTCAAATGTGTCGAGGTTTGCAACCATTACCATCATCCATTGTCTATTCAATGCCACAATCCATCCCACTGTGCACACAAACTGATCTATTTGCCCCATATTCTTGGTTCTTTCGGTAAAGTCACGTAGAAGGAAAATAATAAAACAATAAAAATGAAACAAAAATGTTTCACGACGTTAAGAAAAAGCCGGCACTTTTTAAAAAAAATGTCTTGCTGTGGTTTTCACACCTGATGATGATGATTGCTTGTATTGCAATTGAAACGTCGTCAGAATTGTATTGTTTTATTTTCATTATTTTATTATTTCCCTTCTACGTGACTTTCACCGAAAGAATCAAGAATATGAATCCCTGCAGTCACGAAAGCTTTAAAACGAAATTAATTTGCCTCCATCTGCACTGGTGATCATCCTATTGGGTGTGTTTTCTGCTTTCACCACAGAATTACCCACGACATTGACCCCTACGATCGAGTGTGTTGTATAATATTGTTTAAAGCATGTCACAGTCCGAGTGTCCCATTGCTTCAATGACCAGTGGGGTGGCACCGCTACAAATGTGCTCTCAAATAATTGTGGATAAAGGGTTTGGCAAAAAAATGTCTTGCGATGTGATTCCATTTCGACTTTCTTGTTGTTGTTGTTTTATATCTCTCCACAAAAGAAGCTTCTCTTCAACTGAAAATGTTTTTTTATCAACCAGATAATAAAAGTTGTCCTTTAAATATCCTTTTCAGATGTCATGTGGTGCTACTCTGAGATTAGAGATTTAGAACATAAAATAACCTTTCACTGAGCAGCAATATTAAAGATTTTTCAGATTTCCCAAAGGATATGTTTATACAATTTCAATGAAACATCGAGGCTAGAAATAACCGCCATGCAATTGTGGCTGACGTCCAAGTGCAGAGGATCACACATTTCACGGCAGATGCAGCAAAACTTATATACGAGTGTGACATTATATTTTTGGTTCTTTCACGTAGAAGGGAAATAAAACAATAATAAAAATAAAACATAATAAAAATTCTCACGATGAGTGTGACATTATCCAAAAGTGACATTCAAAAATAATGCAATGTAATTATTTAAGGGACTATCTTAAAGAACCACTGTACCCTATTTAACTGTGTAATTACATTTAATATAGATAGAGGAGTTACCATCTTAAATTAGTCTTGCACTGCGATCTGTAATTTACTAACTCTTTTTGCCACTCGTTTTACAGCGTTTTTGCATCTTTTGAAGATGTCTCGCCGCATGCAGTGGGAGCATGAAAGCAGCAAAGGAACGGCTGACACAAGTGGCAGTTCACAAACGGCGGCCCTCAGTGAAGGAGATGGGCCCACAACACGCGAGCGAGATAACATCCTAAATAGAATCGAGGCATTTTATGTGGATCCAAAAACACATTATTTTTTTCCCAGTCATCAAACCATTTCTTAGCCGAGTGGGAGGAAGTTTCAGATATCGTACTCGACCATCTGCTGCAAATGTGCTCCCAAGTAACTGAGGAAGTTCCATATCTCATACTGATTTCTGCTTTCACAGTAGGGACAACGATACAATTCCTGGACGAGAAGGTCTAAACTGTGAACATCATCAAAGAAGCAAGCCCGATCGTTGGCAACACAACTGTTTAAGATAGTTTTACACAGAAAAGAAATACCTCGAAAACTATGGTGACACATCATCAATTATTATTCTCGTCAACAAAGCACACATTTGTAATGACTTTAACTTCACAGCCATTAGCCTATTACTGACCCACAAAAAATGTACCTGTAAAAACAAAGTTTTTCACTATAAATCCTTTATATGCGTGGCATCGGTTTTATTTTATTATTCATTTCTGTTTTTCTTGAGTAAAAGTTTCATTTTTATCACATTGGTATTTTAAATTAAATATGAAAAAAAAATCCTAAAAAGTGGAAAATTTTGGATTTTTTTTTCACGAAAATAAATTGTCACGCACAACGAGTCTGTGTGCAAAATGTCAGCTCGATTGGATCACGGGAAGTGGGTTAAAAAACGACCGAAAGATTTGCACGGTCGTAAGCGCGCAAGCAAGCAAGCAAGTGAACTTAGTATAAAGGATTTTAAAAGGGACTCGAACAGAACGGCATTTTCCGACCATCGGATTGCTCGCCAGCACTCTAATCACAGTGCCACCGCCTGGCAGAAAGAGCCTCTAATCCGTCTACTTGACTGCATCGCACAGAAAATGGGGACATACGACATGATAATATACTCACTGCAACAGTCAAGCCACTCGTACACACCCTGTTTAACGTGTCATATACTTGACAGTACAGCATTACCTACCAATCTTGAGCCGTAAACAACTGCAGTTTACTCATTGATGCTCTAGTGAACCTTGACTCTGCTGGTGTTTGCACGTCCAAGGGTTTTAATGTGGGAAGCAGCTCATTACAACCGATTCGGTGCATATTTGCGTCGTAAACAACTGCAGTTAATTTATTGATGCCCTAGTGGACCTTGACTCTGCTGGTGTTTGCACATCCAATGGTTTTAATGTGGGAAGCAGCTCATTACAACCTATTCGGTGCATATTTGCGTCTCCAGCATATACACCCACGTTTACAACATGTACCCACTAATCTTGATTTGAAGCTTTCGTGACTGCAGGAATCCATACGCTTTGGTTCTTTCGATAAAGTTACGTAGGTAGAAAAATTAAAGAAAAAAATATTTATAAAATTTTACAAAACATATTTTTGTTTTATTTAATCTTTCTACCTACGTGACTTTACCGAAAGAACCAACGAGTATGTACTCACTAGTGAGATACCTGTGATTGTTTCCCTGTAAAGGGTGGAACGATGGCACAATGGTAAGCGCAATACACCTCGCACTCCGTCATCCGAGTTCAATTCCCGTCCATGGCTAACATCAGTGGCGTCTGATATCCGACCAGTGCTGGGTTCCTTCCCCCCCCCCCCCCCCCCCCCCATGATTGAGACGGCACGAGGAGACATTCACCCAGCAGTGGCTTTTAAAAGTGCTGGATGTTATAAAGTTTTTAAAAAAATATTACCTTCAAAGTGTTATGGCAGCTGTATGGCCGTGAAGTGTATTTCAGGCCAGGGGAAGAGAGACGCCGTTTAGTAATCGGTGCACTTAATTTTAGATTTGAAGCTTTCGTGACTGCAAGGATTCATATTCTTAGGTTTTTTCGGTAAAGTCACGTAGGTAAAACAATTAAATTAAAATTAATAAAAGTAAAATAAAAATAAAATAAAAATCACGAAGTTTCGGAAGCTTGCGTTGCCTCCGAAACGTAAGTGATTTTTATTTTATTTTTTATTTTACTTTTATTAATTTAAATTTTAATGTTTTACCTACGTGACTTTACCAAAAAAACCTAAGAATATGAATCGGTGCACTGTTCTATGATGCCGCTGGCTATGTGTGCTATCGCTTGGCAAGAGATGTCCGAACGTAGCCGGAGCCCCTCTTCCATGTTCACTGAGGACAAGACTCTCGCACCTTGTGCGCGTATATCATCATTGACAACGGGCAGACAAAGGTGCGCAGGGCATGCGACGACGAATGGTCATTGTGGGTGCTCACTTACGTCACGTGTTTGTTTGAAGATGGACTCTCACGTTGGTTAAATAGATCCCTCGAAACTTGACATTTGAACAAACACACCATGAGCTTCATGTTATACAAATGAATTGCAATGTGTTCATTTTGGTTACTCGTAAGTATATCGTCAATTTATAAATGATATACTGTAGCACTATATTCTTGGTTCTTTCGGTAAAGTCACGTAGAAGGGAAATAATAAAAGAATCTATATATATAAAATCGTTCATGTCTGTCTGTCTGTGTGTGTGTGTGTGGACTTTGGCCCATACGCACTTTCATTGGACGGCGGTTGCCCCTGGCAACGGCTAGCCACGCCTTCGCCGCTTTCATTGGACCTGGCAACGGCTAGCCACGCCTTCGCCAAGGGCTGCAGTTTCATTGGACGGCGGTTGCCCCTGCCAACGGCTAGCCACGCCTTCGCCACTTTCATAAGCTCCGTATTTAATTAAATAATAGCCATTACACAGTATTGTTGGAGCGCTAGGGGGGGGGGGAAGGAACGCCACCCGTACCCTGCCTCTTCCAAGCCGACAATTTTAGGCGAGGCCGCAGGCTTTGCACGCTACTAGGCCTCGACACCCACCACGCCACTCTGAGGTAAATTCATCAAAGTTTTTCCTACTCTTCACTACACCCCCACCACAATGTGTGCTATTAATATTACTTTTAAACCCAACGCGCCAACAATCGATTACTTTAATGTTCACTGTACAAATACTCATTAAGCTGGGTGAGCGTACTGCCAGTCTATCATGTACACTGTAGCCTGCTTATTAAGCTCGGTGAGCGTACTGCCACTCTATCATGTACACTCTAGCCTGCTTATGAAGCTGAGTGCGTGTACTGGCAGTCTATAATGTGGACTCTTGCCTGGTTATTATAATCGATTCTTTATATGTTCTTTGTACAAACAGTCATTAAGCTGCTTGAGCGACCCCAGTTCGATTCCAACTCACGCCCACCACCGCTGACGATTATTTGAAACGGACCTGGCCCTCCCCTAGGTCCACTCAGCCTCAAAAGCGTAACTGCTGTCGTGTGTGAACATCGTCACTGGGGAGACAAAGGCGGCGGGGCATCGTGGATCCAAGTCCCGGGCGAAGCCGGGTCATGTGTATGTGTGTTTATGTGTATGTCTGTGTGTCTGTATGCATGTGTGTATGTATGTGTGTGCATGTGTTTGTGTGTATGTGTGTGTGTATGTATGTGGGTTTTTTTGTATGTGTTTATGTGTATGTCTGCGTGTCTCTATGTATGTGTGTATGTACGTGTGTGCATGTGTTTGTGTGTATGTATGTGTGTGTCTATGTATGTGTGTGTATGTGTTTCTGTGTTTGTATGTGTGTCTATGTATGTGTGTGTATGTGTTTCTGTGTTTGTATGTGTGTGTATGTATGTGTGTTATGTGTCTGTCTGTGTGTCTGCATGTATGTGTGTGTGTATTGTGTATGTGTTTGTGTGTGTTTGTGTGTTTACGCTCGCATTACACAAATGTATAATGCGGGTCTAAGGCGTTCCTTACACAGCATTGCCGCTTTATTATTTCAGTCGTTTACTGCCGTATGCACCCTGAAAGTCGTGTGTGTCTGCAGCAAGCGCGTGTATGTGTACCTATGGACGCGCGCGCGTGTGTTGTGTAGGGGGAACGGTAGTGTAGTGCTTAGCGTGCTGCCTGTGTCTGTGTGTGTGTGTCTGTGTGTGTGTGTCTGTGTGTGTGTCTGTGTGTGTGCGTGTGTGGTGTGTGGGGAGCGGTAGTGTAGTGGTTAGCGTGCTGTCTGTGTGTGTGTTTCTGTCTGTGTGTGTCTGCGTGTGTCTGTGTGTGTGTCTGTGTGTGTGTCTGTGCGTGTGTGGTGTGTGAGGAGCGGTGGGTGTAGTGCTTAACGCTACGCTGCGCTACCAACCCGGCAAACCCAGTTCGATTCCCGCTCACGGCCACCACCGGTGACGATTATTTGAACCTCCCCTAGGTCGACTCTGCCTCAAACGAGTAACTTAACTACTGTAGCGTATTAACATCGCCACTGGGGAGACAAAGGCGGCCGGCCGTGGTAGATACAAGTCCCGGGCGAAGCCGGGTAGTACAGCTAGCATTTATATAAAACAACAAAAATTCTCACGACGTTTTTTCTTTTTTTCTGTGGATTTCACACCTGATGACGATTGCTTGTGTTGCAGTCGAAACGTCGTAAGAATTTTTGTTTAATATTAATATTATTTTATTATTTCCCTTCTACGTGACTTTACCGAAAGAACCAAGAATATGAATCCCTGCAGTCACGAAAGCTTTAAATCAAGATTTGATATATCACTCTTTGCCAATCCACTGTTGGATCATTGGAGTTGTTTGACCTTGCTTCACCACACTGACAGGGTGGGTGGGGGGAGGGGTCCAATGACCAGTTCATATATCATACTCCCACACTCATATCAGCCACGCCTGGGAATTAAACTCACGTACGCTAATCTCTGTGCCACTGCTCCTCCTACAACTATTTCAGGATTTTTTTGTTAAATTCTTGGCCCTATTACCCGTGTCTCCTACCATCCGCAAGCTGTCAGGTCTGTGAAAACTCCTATTATCCCCGACCCTATTTCTTCTCCTACCATCCGCAAGCTGTCAGGTCTGTGAAAACTCCTATTATCCCCGACCCTATTTCTTCTCCTACCATCCGCAAGCTGTCAGGTCTGCGAAAACTCCTATTATCCCCGGCCCTATTTCTTCTCCTACCATCCGCAAGCTGTCAGGTCTGCGAAAACTCCTATTATCCCCGACCCTATTTCTTCTCCTACCATCCGCAAGCT